AACAACAGCGGCCATACTCCTAATTCCAGTTTTGAAAAATTTGGGTGAGCGTTAGCTAATCTTTCTTTCTTCTATGGTTTTCATTATCTGAAGAGCATTTGCCGTAGTACAATGAAGACGCTCTCATAATGGTGTTGCACAATCCTCGGTAAGTGTGATGACCAGTGACATGCCGTGACATGGTGTCACAGGCCCAATATCTTGAGACATTGAGTTTGTACTTTCCACAGCACCTATTCAATATATTTTTTGCAATGGGTTTGATTGAATTAAGTGAATGAATCCACTGGGAGAGTTTTCCCTGGAGAAATTGCATTTATTGCTCCAAAAATGCGAAATCAGTCTGTTTTCCCTGCCAAATGAGGCAGTCTGAAGAGATTGGACTATAACTTTTCAACAACAGCACGTATGAACATGATTTGCAGACGGATTTTACTTAGAATTCAAATTCCAATCGATCTACGGATCCAGAATTTTTATTTGTGGCACCTGTGCCGAGATACCCTTGAAAATCAGCACTTTTACATGGTTAAAGGCTAGTAATTAAAAATATGGACCCGTAGGATTGTAGCCACATAGTAATCGATGATTTCGTCTCTGCAAACCTAAGCCCAAATCCTATCTGTTGTGAAGCTCATAGCTCGAGGAGGCAACCTTGGGCCAATAGGTGCTGCACAGCCACTGATCCAATTCCAGAATGAGTTGTGATCACTTCCCTTAGTTTTTCTTTTGTAGAATAGTTGTATAATAGCCTACTTTATACATTCAAAGTGTTGTAATAATGCTAAACATGAAAAATATCCAAAGAAAATGCAGTTTTCTGGCAACATCTCATTCACTCTCATAGCCCTCTATATCCTCCCAACCCTCCTCCTCATCCTCCTCATCCTCCTCTTCCTCTGACAGATTAATATTCTCACCCTCACTCTCCTCATCTTGGATGAGCTTCCAAGCACCATTTGTATGCAGATCAATAGCATCTACAAGTGCTTTGCGGATATCAGCAACTTTGGTTGGCATTGGCCCTTGCTTGAGATTTGGAGCACCTGCACTCTTGAAGAGTCTCAATTGGTCCTTGAGGGACGTGCCCTTGAGTCCTGGGACCTTTTCCTTGTCAAAAACAAGTTCCAACTGTGCAATCCGTTCTGCAGTTGCCTTTGCATTTTGCTCCCGAACCTCCTTGCGTGCAGTTTTCTTTGCTTGTCGTTGGTCACGGAAATCAGTAAGTTCATTGCGCCTTTTCTTCTCCTCCCCATTTGCCTCTCGTCCAAGTTTATGTATATACTGATAGTCTTCCTCAGTAAACTTTGTTTCCATAAATGCTTGTGTGTTATTGCGGAAAAACATTATCAAGGCATTGCAACTGAGAAGTGTAAGCTGAGGCTGATAGTGCATGAGGCGTCAGAAAGACCCTAGCAGACCTTCATTTTCATCATTTGTTGCAGGCATATGTGCAAGCTCCCTTTCCTCTGCAGTTGCTTCATCAATTAGGCCACCAGGTGCAAATTCTGATGTGAAACGTTCCCATGTTTGTGCTGCTCCTTTGAAAAATGCAATCAAAAGATTGTGGAAGTGAGGGAGTGTAGGGATGAGGTCAAATATCTTCTTTACAACTGCAGGATTCTGCCACTTTTCACCATCTAGAGTAGCTGTTTTGTATGATTCAGAAATGTCTAGGTCTTTTCCAATGAGAATGTCAGGATTTGCAATGATTTTCTGCATATGGAAGTACAGATTGCTTTCATATATGGGTATGAAACAGCCTCAGCATAAATTGCAAGAACAGCAAGCTCAGTCACTGTTGAAGTGCAGTGGAGAGCCTTCCAGAGATTTAATTCCATGTGATTGAGTGTTGGATTTTGCTTGTTGATGCGTAGACTCTCAAGAAAATCCTTGAATTCATCTCCATAGAGAATAAGGGCTGCAGCAGCATTACAATATGACTGGAATCTATTGTTGGATGTATCGGGAAATGTAAATGGAACTCCCACATGTTCCCACCACCAATAACGAAAGATATCATGGTGGCCCCTTTTATCGTCTTTATTGTTGAAGATTGCACCTGCAATTTCTGCAGTTTTAATTGCACCACGTGTTGATTTGTGAAAAGCTCTTTCTTGAGCTGGTGTTAGGGTGTCACCTTTCTCAAGAGCAGTGTCTCGCTCTTGAACCACAGGATCATTATCACGATTGGCAAGAAGGACAGGGCGTTCTTCCTCAAGCCCATTCTCAATCCACCAAGCTGCCACTGCAAGATACCCTCCCCGAATAGTGTTCAGATCCTTGTGGCAACCACAGCCAGCCCAGATAAAGAGCCGGAAAATATGTTTTTCCTCATCAGAGAGATTATCAAACTCTTCTTTTCCCAACTCAGCAACTGCCTCTTCAATCATTTTGGCCTTCCTCTCAGCCTTCTTGATGTCAGACAGTTTGTTCCACTTATTTACCCCACCAGCTTTTCTAATCATTTCCTCTTCTGCTTTCTTGAAATCGTCACGAACCTCCTCTAATGTCATTTCTAACATTTTTTCTTCTCCAAGATGTTGATCAACAGCCCAAGCTTTCAGAGTTTCAAGCAATCAGGCATCTTTTTTTTCCTTTGCACAGTGATCAGTGCTCATTCCTGCAAGTTTGATCAAAAGTTCAATAAATTTGAGAAGTCCACCTGAGTGCTTTCCAAGAGGACTGTTATTGTAGAGGTCAATAATTTTCTTGAGAGTATTCTCCCAGTCTGCAATAGCTTCTTCACTAGATCCATCTTTTGATGATTGAATTCCAAAAGTTCAGGTTACTTGTTGCTTTGAACTGCCCTCTGGTGAAGTGTAATCCTCAGCAATAAGATGAACATGGTGGGAATTGTAGTTGATGCTACGATGGCTTGTACCATCTGCACTGAAAGTCATACTTTCTGCTTTTTTCATCTCATATCCAAGCTGAATTTGTGCAGCAAAATATCCCTCATGAAGAAATCGAGAAACAGAAGTGCGGCTGATACTGCCAACACCTGTTATTCCTGCAGATTTGAGGACAGCCAAAATAACCTCACCAACAAGGTTTCGTGAGCAGCCAGCCTTGACAAGTAAACGGACAACATTGCGTGTTTCCTCAGTGAAGACACCCTTTTGCATTAAATAGTGAACTGATCGTTGGTCTAAGATCTTCTTCTTGACTGAGGCTATTGATTGCTCCTTTTGTTTTTTACCACATTTGACTGCCTTGCGCAACTTGGAAGCTTTGTTTCGTAATGTTGTCAGATCAGAGGTTGATTTAGCAAGCTTGGCATGGGATTTCTCAAGCTGTGAGGTCCACTTAGCCATAGACATAGAGAGCTCATTATGGAGAGTGTTATTCTGCTTCTGTAGTAATGCAATAGCCTTATGTGACTCACGAGAGCCTCTCAAAAGCTGCTTAGAAGTCTCTTTCTCTGCAGTCTTCAGGATCTCTACCTGATTCTGTAATTGGGTCAATTTTTGTTGCCCTCTTTTTGAGGTTTGGCGCTGCATACGAAGCTCATGATATGTTCTCTCATGCTTTTCCTGCCAAAGCACAGAGTTGTCCTTATGCATTTGCAGTTTCTGATTAGCCTTATCAAGCTCTGACTCAAGTCTGCAGCATTCTGTGTCTCTGTCAGCAAGCAGATTCTCCAGCTCCTCAATTCGTGACTTTGCAGCCTGTAAGCTAATCCAGAGATCATCTTTTGCAGTCTCTGAAGCCAATACAGCTCTCTTTTCATTGAGAACCTCCTGTGCTTTCAAGTTAGCTACTGCTGCCTGCCGTTTTCGTGATGCTAATGGTGCCATAATGTGAAGCCAGAGACGTTGTCACTACAAAGTGGCCAAGATGCAGAAATCACCTGAGATGAGAATTACCGAGACTCAGAGAACAAGCACAGAGCAAGAGAGACAAACAAGAATGAAGCCCAGAGAGAGAAAGGCAAAGAATCTCCTGACAAGAGTAGTACTAGAGATGAGAATAACTGAGAGAACAACCACAGAGAAAGAGAGACAAGCAAAAAATGAAACCCAGGGGAAGAGAGAGGTGACAAGGGTGGTACTAAGTTCTAACAATACCTGCAAAAATATATAGTTATATGCTTGAATTGAATGATCTGCCTATATCTATACCTAAAGCAGATGTTCAATTACTGAATAGATCCTAGATGCAAAACAATAATAAGATGTATATGCATTTCTGAAGCTCAAGCACAAACCCTCACTTGTAGTATGGACTTGGATGCTTTTTGATGGAAAAAAGCAGGCAAAAGCACAAAAAAATGGGGGTGTTTTGGGTCTACAGGCTGTTGAGGTGGTGGTCAAGTGTAAAGAAGCTGTCTCCAAGAAATCCAGCAACATTCCTGCATGCATGAGGGTGCCATGCAGATGCCACATGTTGTGCAAACCCATTCTGGAATTGGATCAGTGGCTGTGCAGCACCTATTGGCCCAAGGTTGCCTCCTCGAGCTATTAGCTTCACAACAGATAGGATTTGGGCTTAGGTTTGCAGAGACGAAATCATCAATTACTATGTGGCTACAATCCTATGGGTCCATATTTTTAATTACTAGCCTTTAACCATGTAAAAGTGCTGATTTTCAAGGGTATCTCGGCACAGGTGCCACAAATAAAAATTCTGGATCCGTAGATCGATTGGAATTTGAATTCTAAGTAAAATCCGTCTGCAAATCATGTTCATACGTGCTGTTGTTGAAAAGTTATAGTCCAATCTCTTCAGACTGCCTCATTTGGCAGGGAAAACAGACTGATTTCGCATTTTTGGAGCAATAAATGCAATTTCTCCAGGGAAAACTCTCCCAGTGGATTCATTCACTTAATTCAATCAAACCCATTGCAAAAAATATATTGAATAGGTGCTGTGGAAAGTACAAACTCAATGTCTCAAGATATTGGGCCTGTGACACCATGTCACGGCATGTCACTGGTCATCACACTTACTGAGGATTGTGCAACACCACTCATAAGAGCTAATGCGGACATGACAGACGCGCTCCGTACTATTGCGGTAATGCAGAATGAAATGGATCTCTCCGTCCTTTCCAATCAAATGCTTGAATCATCGGCAGCTTCCCTCCGCACAACCTCGTCTCAACACGATCAACTCTCCAGCTACATGACCACCTCTAAGCACCTCGTCACCGCCTTGAGGAATCTCACGGGCTTGACTGTGTTATAATCATATCTGCATTTATATTATTTCTCCTCGTCGTCAATATGATTCTGAATTAGCGCGTCGTGGATCGAGGGTTGAGGATCACTTTTTGGTGGACAAAGTTGATTGCACACATTCAGGGTGTGGATGGGGATGCATGGTCTCTTTTGGCTACAGAAGAGCCGCAACGGAAACACCGTCCCAAGAAGGGGGAAGTCACGAGGCCATCAGGATCATTACTGTTGATTACCGGGGGATCTCAATGAAGTGACGAGCGGTATATGGTTCGACATTCGTTATTGTGAAGCGGTGGTACTTATACAACCAATTCTATGTCATGAGCTCTACACCTACAACCACACTAGCTGTGCTCATGCCTCCACCCCAATCCTATTTCCTTGGTGATTGGATGGCCTGGCAAAGTGATGTCCGTAACAGAGGTGGTAGGTGACAACTGATGGCTCTGCACTTGTTCCAAAGCTTGCTTTGCATACTTCTCAAGATACTTGAAGAGTCTGTTTTTCAATCTGTCCTCGAGCTGTTGTAGCACGGCTATATCCAGGCCCGTGGGAGGTGCCCATGAAAAAACAAGACCACTTGTTCCAGGTAGGCTGAATGTTTGGTTATTCTGTCCCATTGCTTCGCCGAGCTCTTTGCATAACCAGCAACATTTTTTGGCCACACCGATCTTGTTGGCATCCTGCACATGAGTGATCATCAGCAAATACCACAATTTAAAAAAAATGGAGAACAACCTTGAGGATATCAACAAAGCTTGAGGGTAACTCAGTTGCTGTACAGGAGGCTTCTTTGATAAATGCCATTAATGTGGCTTCTGCATGAATCACCCCGGTGAATTTGCCACCAAACCTTTCCAAATCCTGGAGATTTTCTCGGATAACTGGGTCATCGGTGAACTCATCCAACAAAGCACTGGTTGATGTAACTGCTTGGCACTTCTCACTTGGAACCTGTGTAACGGGTAGGACTACGGATCGATCCCTTCATCCATCTTTACTGGTATATTCCCAACTTAACGTATTCCGCTTCAATTGTCACGTGGTCACAGTAGTCACACTTGGTTACAATTTTCGCAGTTACACATGTAGTAAATTCTATCTTCTTATTCATACATCTTGCACTCGCTTGCAGCCTTCGAGCATCGTCTTCACGACTCGACTACATGCGTAACAGGGATATACTAACGAGGTCAGTAGCATAGTTATTTGTAGTAGGGAGCTCGTGACTCCCTTGAAGTTGAACCTTCTTCTTCCTCCTTCCCCATTATCCGCAGATCATCTTTTTACACCTTTCTGCGGCTTTCCGAGAAAGGAGAGTACGTTTACGCTCGTGGCTTTCCAGAGCATAAGTAACTACTCGCGTAAAGAGATTGATTCTCTCCTCCAATTAGATTCTCGTTAGAAGTCTACACACCAGTGTAGCAACCTTTATCTAGAAACTCGCCAGATTCACTTCGTCGTTGTTACTTGGACCACGCGAATCAGCGTCACTCCTTTAACAGGTTCCTACAAAGGTGGACACTGTGGGAACCAACGACAGCCTGGCCGGCTTAGATACATTTGTGGAAGAGGAGCTAGAGCGGAAGGA